TAGTAAGTCTATCAGATCATGTAACTGCAAGTGCAAAGTTGTATCGCGTAGTTTTAAAAGATATTGAATCCACAGGGACCAATAATCAATTTTACCGCTATCTATTGGTGTTATGTAAATATAAGGCTATAAATATTTTTATTAGAGAGAAATTAATTCTAAAACTAAAATAAAGCTTAGAAAATATATCAACTTGGAGAGACCAGAATGTGGATCCCAGCGTACCTTAGGGACTCAATAATTCATTGGCGTACGTTACGTGTTAAATTACTTTTCGGTAGAAAATATTAGTTTAAAAACCTTTATCTCACACCATCGTGCTATTGACTCTAGTTATAATTCTAGACCATAAATGTTTTGTCGTCGCTCACCCATTTGAATTAAGAAATACTTGTTGAAAACCAATAAGTTCTAACTAATCCTAAAGTGTTGTCATTGTGTTTAAGATTAATGTCCAATTTTTACTAACTGGTTCGAGCCTCACAATGCCGTGTTATTGACTCGAAACCTTAATGTTTTCACTGTCGTTCAAAATCTTTTGGATTTAAAATCAAAAACTGAAACTAAAAAAACAATTTATAAAAGGTTACGCCAATTCATTATCGAGTCCCGTCGGAACGACGGTCCTCAAATACTGGACTCAAAACAATTTAGCCAGACATGGTATTAAACATAAACATGCAATTCTTGATATTTGAAATTAACAGCAACATATCAATTGAATTTAATTGAATTAATGCAAACAAGCATAAACAACTTAAAAACTAGAAGTAACTCTGGAAAAAAAATCTTCAAGTACAAACGAACAGAATGAAAAATAACTTCTAATGTTGGCACACTTAATCTGATCCAAACTTACAATATAATTCCTAAAAACTATGGCATGATAGTCCCTCGACGTGAGAGCTCTATCACTTTGTAAAGTGAATTTTTGCTTAAAACTAGACTACCTCTCTTGCGTACAAACTTGGATATCAAAAATTGGTCAAAATTGAAAATATATAGTCAATACTGCTCCTAGAAAGTGTCCCAAGTCGTGTGGAATTTGTGAAGAAAAAATAGGGAAGGTGGGTGAAGACTCGGCAATGTTGATTCCTGATTTTTCTGCACTACAAGACTATGGCAAACTCCATGGGGTGATGGCGAACGCCATTTCCCCTAAAATGTGAAAATACGTGGTTTTGAGGTCCATGGTGAACGCTATGGGGGTGATGGCGAATGTCATGCACCAGAAAAAGCCTTTTTTTTGCCTTTTCTCTTCCTTTCTTGATCTCTTCTCCGATTTCTCACACTGATGCTCTTCTTTAATGATTACCTAAAACAATCAAACTGTACCGACATAATACTACAAAAAACATATAAAATCGCCACTTAAATGCATGTGAACCGATTCGAAATATACTATGTATTTTCACGTTATCATATGCTAAAAGAGAAGAAAAAAATGTATCTTAGGTTCTAGATTAAGGAAGTTTCAACAATAATGCACATCTTAAATAGAAGTCCATCTAACAAGCTGATAAACAAGACTCGACACAAGGCTTGGAGAAATAAAAACCTAGTGTTGGTAATTTCAATATTTTTTGGTTATTTTGTTTTAAGCATTTCTAAAGTATATCAAAAGAAAATTTGGTGACATAAGTTAATCTATGGTCCTCATTGGTTATCATTTTACTGGCACCTAAAAACTTTATGCTATAAAAGAAAATAAAGTTGTAACCATCCGAGATATGATATTTGATGAAAACAAAGTTTGGAACTTGGAACTACACACAAGCTCTTTTAGTGGAGATATAAGTGAATAGAATATAAAAATTATATTAGTAGAAGACCTACAGAACACTGAGTTGTCTGGATAAAATCTTAGAAGATCAAGAAATAGTAGAACTTAATCAAATAGGTAAGAAGGTTATAATGTGTTTCTTTACCCTAAAGTCATAGAAGATTGTGAGTTAGCTAATGAGGCCATGGTTATAAACTTAGAAAAATAATTTGGATCAAGCTCTAAATGATATAAATTAGGTATTAGACATGAAGTAAAAGGTCAAGGAAATTGAGAAGAACACGAATTGCGAACCAATGTATAACCAAGTCAATAAAAAATCAATTGATGTGAAGTAAGTCTACAAGATCAAAATAATGAAAAATAGTTAAACTGCTAGCAAGGTTAGTGGAAAGAGTTTTTTTGTTAAAGACCTGGGGTGGATTTTAATGAAGTCCTTGCATTAGTAGCATGACTTGAACCAATCAGAATAGTTGTGGCAATAATAACTTATAGAGATTGTATTATGCATTAACTCGACGTAAAATCTGATGTCATAAATGCCTCTAAAAGAAGAGGTTAATGTCAAACATTCACATAGTTTTGAGCTAAAAGTCCAATAATAAAAAAATATTTAGATTAAGAAAAACTATATATAGTTTGAAGCATGTGCCTAGAGTTTGGAAAAAATAATTTCCATCTTCCTTATCAAGTTATACTTCACAAAGTGTATATTAGAATATGGAGTCTATGACATAATGAGATGCTAATATTGTACCTAAATATTGATGATTTCCTTATTATTGGATGAAATAAGGAGAAATTGAAAGCTCTCAAGGTAAACATAATACCGAAGTTTGAAATGTTTGAACTTGAAACTTATCATATTTTCTAAGAATGGAATGTATGAAAATAGGCATATGTATATTTTTGCAACAAAAGAAGTATGCTAGAGATGGATCTAAAAAGGTTTATATGAGAATATGCAATTCTATAATAACTCAAATGAAAAATGAAGCAAAACTAAGCAAAGATAAAAATGAAGAACAATTTTATGAAATGTGATACAAAAAAGTCATAGTCTCTTTTACGTACTTGCGCAATACAATGTCAAATTTGTTCTGAAGTGTAGGTTTGATAAACAAATTCTTAGAACAGTCAAGAGTATGTCATCTAGTGGCTATAAAGAGGATACTCAGGTATGTTAGAAGCACAATTGATCGTGGAGTTTTGGTATCAAATAAGAAACATAATAAAAGATATGCAATTGCATATGGATACTCAATTATGACTAGGGAGGTAATCAAATGATAGGGAAATCATAACATGCCACGTGTTCATGATTGATAGACACTAATATCATGGAGTTCAAAGAAGTAACAAATAGTTACTTTGTCATCATGTGAGGCATAGTATGTTGTAGTCTCACTTGTAGCTCGTCAATCACTATGAATTACGATGTTATTTGAAGAATTGAAGATTCATGAAATTGTAAAAATGAAGTTGTTGATTGAAAACAAATCATCCATAAAAATGAAGTTGTTGATTGAAAACAAATCATCCATTGATTTCGCAAAACATCCAATCAACCATGAAAGAATCAAACATATTGAAAGAGTAATTCATTTCCTAAAAAAATAAGTAAACAATGATAGATTGGAGCTTAATATTGTAGAACTAAGGTGTAATTGACCGACATGCCGACAAAGCCATTTATTAGAATTAGAATTCGACCTAACTAATCGCTACAAAATTGGTTTGTAAAGTAAGAGGTGACTATCTATATAAACTCTTTAGATACTCTTTAAATACTCTTTAGAGCTAAGGTGTAATTGACCTCACGTCAAACACTATTGAATTTGATGTGTGGATATTGATAGTGAGTGATCCACTGTCTGATAGATAGATTCTAATATTATATTAAATTTAGAAGTCGGTCTAATTCATCTCTACAAAACCAATTTATAAGGTATAAGATAACCATCTATAAAAAAATCTTTAGAGACTTTATCTTTAACCGATGCAAAATTTGAAAATTTTCTATTCCAATTATTGAAGGAAAAACTAAATGAACCGAAAAGCTAATAGGAATAGAAAGACTTTCAAATGAAATAGGTTGTAATGTGTTGTAATTTTAATTAAAGGTAAACTTTTAGATATTCATGAATTTTAGATGAGGATCGGTATCTTTAGTACAAATTGAAATAAAATAAAAGGGTTAAATATGTTTTTGCTCCCTATAAAATTATCAACTTTTGTTTTTTGTCTCTATAAAAAAATAATGTATTTTAGTCCTTACAAAATAATTATGCACGTAGTTTTAGTCCCTAATGTTAAACTAATATGGATTTTTGAATGATTATTTTGCAGATATGTTTAGAACGTTATAAAAAATTTCTAAAAAAAAAAGAACTCAAAATTTGACTTATAAGTCAAAAATTTCATTACGTTTATCATTATCTTATAAAACTTAAAAAATTTATATTTAATTCTTCTCATTTTAAAAAATTATATAATTTGGTAAAGAAATATTTTATAGTAATCCGAACATGTATGAAAAAAATTATTTAAAATTTTTAAAATTTAAGGGTAATTAAATAGTTTTTAAAATTTTAGAAAATAAGAAAGATTACAACAGCATGCATAAAATTTTTGTAGGAACCAAAATATATTTTTTTATAAGAATTAAAAATAAAATATGAGATATTTAAAAGGACCAAAAACATATTTAATCTTAAAATAAATGATGTATCATTGAATCATAATGTTTGATTGGTTCAAAATATCGGTATTCAATTAAATTAAAAGGTACCGAAATATTCAACTTAATTAAAAGTGTTCAACCAAAAGTTTGTTAGAAGTTAGAGTAATTGATTAAATTTGATTATATTTAGATACTTAGATAACATGCTTTAACTTATCATATTTCTCAGTCTCATTCTCTCCCTTGCTTATCTATCAAGTTATATCAATTTGTTTTCTCGATTAACTATATATAAAATTCAACCTTGGAACAATAAGTATATAAATATAAAGAACCATTTTGTAATTTTATAATAGTAAAAAATAGAGAAAAAATAATCAAATAAACCATGAACTGCAACTGGGAAAACGCGACAGTTTATTCATACAAAGCACAACTTTACGTGTACTTTCAATTGGATTATAATTAACTCATAATAATTAATTAACAAAGTACAAATCCCGATTAACCATGTTTCATGTTCTGATCTTGAAGCTAGCTTATGCTTCTCTTCCTTGAGTTCCCCTTTGCTGGAAGTACCCGAATTCTCTTTGCCACACGTACAAAATCTCTATTAACATAAAATATATACATAATTAGCCATCTCATGATAATAATCTTTGTAGTACCGACACCTCTGTTAAAAGACACGTCTGTATGTTAAAAGACGCGTCTGCGTGTGTCTGTGTAAGTGTTTGTGCATCTCTGAATAATTAATTAACGAATAAAATTAAGAGATCCTTACTTCCAGTTAAGATCACCAGCCAGAAGAAGATCATTTTCCATATCTTCATATGCAATAACGTGACCAGGAATGGCATTAGACAGATCAAGATGACGATCACCTTCGCCGTCATCGTCAGTGCAATCGACAAACATCTGACGTAGGGCCACAGCGAGACTCTGGTAGCTATCGTGGTTATGGAGACTGATGCGTTGACAGATCGAACGGCCTTCCAACACAACCGTAACAGCAGGTACTACAGTAGAGACTAGATCGTCATCTTCAAGCAGATTGTTGCAGTTTCTGCTGCCATGGAAGTTAGCCAAAGATGAAGAGTTATTTGAAGATGATGACGATGCACCTATGATATTCCATGTTTGAGGGTCATAACTGAAAAGGGTTTGTTTGTGGGAGTTCATGGGGCACTATCTTTGATGAAGTTTTGTTGAGAAATGAAATGTATAGATATAGAGTATAGTTGATGTGTGTGTGAAAGATAGTAGTAAGCACAAATGTCGGGACTGGTCAGATAGATGTCTAGAACCAACCCCAATCTCATGACATAGTTTTCTTTTTCAAGAATATTAATATTACTTAATAGAAAATTATCTTTTGACAACCAAGCACCTCATTTATATCTTGAGAGAAAAAAATAGGGAGAATAGTTTGATGTATGTCAAATATTGGTGATGTGATAAGAAAAGAGAGACAAAAATAAAGTGTTGGGTGAGTGTTAAAAAAACATCAGGTTGACACCCAAATTTCATAATAATATTTATATCCGATACATTATTCACCGTATTTATATGATAAATAGTATTTTTTTAAAAATATATTTATGAATAATGACGTGAATAGTAATGAAACAAAGTTGATAAGTGTAAAAAATTGATTAATAAAGTGATAAATTGATTAACAAATGTTCAGATATTAAAAATTATTTTTAACAGAAAAACAAAGTTGGTTAATGAAAAATAAAAAATTAATTAATGAAGTTATGAAGTTGGTTAATGAGCGTTTATATATTAAATATAATTTTTAGTAATAAAATAAAGTTAATTAATAAAATGTAAAATATTAGTTAATAAAGTTATAAAATTAATTAATTATAAAATTTTATATTGATACCATTTAATGAAAAAAAAAACAATAATTTTTGTTTTTTTATAAATATTTTATCTATTATAATATTTCAGTGTTGATTGTATTGATGAAAAGTAAAATATGTAGTGTAAACATCAACATATTTTTCTTTTAAAAAAATAGAGTTTTAAGATTAAAATCATCTTTTAATTAATATATTAAAATCCTAACTCTTCTTATTAATTACGCCCTTCCAAAATATCACTGATTATTTTTATATTTCTTATGAAGTTGGTTAAGATTTTAAATAAAGAAAAAGATTTATTATTACTTCTTCCATTTTATAATGAGTGATTCATTTGACTTTTTTACGCAGATTAAAAAAAAGAATAAATGAATGAGAGAGAATAATATTTTTACTAAAATACCCTATCATGTATTGGGATTGATGAAAGTAATATTAATTAAAGGGAAAAATTAGAAGAAAAAAATGCATTGGAAATTGAAATGAATCATTTATTTTGGGACACTCTTTTATTTCAAATGGATCACTCGTTGTGGGACGGATGAAGTAGTTTACTAGAACAGAGAGAATGATAAAGTAGACTTTGATTTATAATTTTGTTAACTATTTTCATTGCTTTTGAAAGGGCTATAGAAGTGCATTCAAATCACAATGGGAACAGATCGGGTAACGTTAGCGTGGAAAAGGCATTGTGCCTTTCAGCCATTCTTTGCCATATGATCAATCTTATGCATAAGACTGAATCATGTGTACAAGTTGAACATATAATTGGTTGTAATGCATGGTCAGTCACTTTAAACTTGTAAAACACCCTTAACTTGTTTTTGAGGTGTAAATTTTTTTGGAGACAATAGAAGTTTAGTGAGTGCATATGTTCATGATTTGTTCCTAGAACATGGACTACAAAAAGGTTTTTGGAAATAGATTTCTCCCTCACAAAAGATAAGTCAATCTCCACATGTTTGATCATGGTATGTAAGTGTCATACTCCAAATTTGTCCTACCTTTCTCAGCATTCTCTCTGTAAGATCATCTGGCCTTTGGTCATGATCTTCTGAGAATTAGGTCATATGATCTTTTGTGCATGCTCATTATGACTAACAAGCTTGTGCAGGTGCATTAATTTCAAGTGGGGATAATACTCATTCTCTCAGTCAGGGAACTAGGGTTTGAGTATTTTCTTATCAAGGGTCAAGGTCATCTTCCTCAAGATTCCTCTGAAGCTTCATTGTATACTCCAAGAAGAATTAGGGTTTTCCTTCCATTAGTGTCGAGCATGGTCATTGGAAGTCTGGTTAGGATTTTCATGGCAAATTGCATTATGAGTTGTATCCTTATTTTCACAGGATTTCTCATGGCATGGTTCGTGTACCAAGTTCATCATCATCTAAATCTTTGATTGTGCGGGTAACAAAAGGTCAAGCAAGACTTTATTCTTATTCATGAAGTTGGATCATCATTTAAGTTTTTTTGATCTTAAGAGAAAGAGTTTTGAATTTTCTTGTTGATTAGTTTGTGAGCAATATGCTTTGAAAAGGTAAAGTTTGAATGAAAACAATCTTCAATCAAGTTTAGGTAAGAAGTTATCCAAGTGAAGACTCATTTTCTCTACAAAGGTTCAAATTGACTTCAAGATTCATGGTTGATTTCATCACAAGTTTAAATACAAAATTCAAGCTTTAATGTTCAAATTCAAAATTCAATCATGTTTTACAAATTGGATTCATAAGTTCAAGAATCTCATGACAAGGTTACATCGTCCAAGATACCATTTCAAACTCAAAGGAGATTAAGTTTCATCAAGGCTTTCCAAAATTCAAAATTTAAGCATAAGGTTCTAACACCTCTTTCCATATTTAAAAATTCAAGTTAGATTCGCAAGAACTTCATATGTTAAGCTCAAGTCATTCTCACTACAAAAGTTCATTTTCACATGTTCACATTAATTTCAAGTTCATATGTTCTTTACAAGCATTCAAAAAAGAATTTACAAAAGCCTATGGCAGTTGTTACACAAGAGAATCATAATAGAGATTGATGACAAGGAAAATACAAATATCATCAAATTCCTTGAAGGTTCAAACCTGACTTTGAAGGATGTTAAAATGGAATACAACATATCAAATGTTAGTTGCAGCTTCTGAACTAAAGAAAGTGTTTTCTTGTTTAGACATTTCTAAGGAATCCTTTTTGTTCAAAATTGGAAGCTTTGTAGAAGCGAGCTTCAAGCGCATAAAAGTTTTGATGAAGACAACAAGTTTTCTACGAAACATGTGTATGCAAAAAGCAAGAGACTCAAATGACATCAAGTTTCAAGATGGTGTTCTAGCATATGTCAAATGGATCAAAGCTTCACATACATACTAATCAAGCTTCAAGTATTAAAGATAGAATATTGAACAACAACTCAAAGGTATACCAAATATCATTTAAAATACTTATACAAGTGTCCAATTATTCATCTCTCACTTCACATATATCATAAGACTTTTTAAAACACTTTTAGTAGCTCACTCTTTTTAAAAATTAATTTTGTTTTGAAAAACTTTCAGTGTTAACCGATTAACCCCTATGGTTAACCGGTTAACGGTTTCTAAAATTAATTTTTTGCTTAATTACTTACAGTGTTAATCGATTAACTTATATAGTTAACCGGTTAACAGTTGTTGTTTTTGAATATTTTCTAACATTAAAGGGGTGTTAACCGATTAACCTATATGGTTAACCGATTAACCCTGAAGAAGTAAGCGAAGAATGACAGTTTCTTATGAAAATATGCACTGTTTTCATTTGTTTTCTGACAGTTTTACTGCATAAAATTATACCCCTCTGTAGAGGTGTATTATACAGTATAAATACATATCAGTTTTCAAATTTCAATTTACCTCCAAGAAACTTAATCATCAAATTCACTCATTATCTTCATCTTTCAATATTTCTTAAAGTGTTCACACAAACAGATTTTTGAGAGAAACTTTTGAATAAATTTCACACATTATCACAGTTTCATCTCATACTTTTCAAAGACCACTTGTATATTTCTTTTGAGTGATATTTGTTTCAAGGAGAAGATCGATCGTGAAGATTGATAGCATTATACTCTCAAGACATCAAATTTATGTCAAGATTATCTTTTGTATTACCTTGTTGTCCAGGACTGTTGGAAACAAGTGAGTGTTTGAAAAGGATTGTTCTTCATACACTTTAATTACCTATAGATTATATAGTAGGCTTCACCTTTGGTGTCATTAGGTTATACAGTCATTCTAAACTGTAGTGAAATCTCTTTCGAGTCGAAAGGGGAGTGAAGTACTCTCGGAGTGTGAGGGGAACCACTATAAATCTCTTGTGTCACTTTTTCCTTTCCGCACTTTACTTTCAAGTCCTTAACATCTTAACCGAAAAAGAATCAAGAATCAGAAAAAGATTGAAGATAAATTTTGAGAACCTAACTCACCCCCCCCCCTCTTAGGCGCATTTACAAGTTACAATTGGCATCAGAGTAGGTGATAGGTAACCTGTTCCTATTCAATCCAGATGGCTTCCGAAAATAACAATCTAGTATTCAGAGACGGTGGTAGTAGCAACAAACCTCCTTTGTTTTGTGGCGAATATTTCGACTTTTAGAAGATCCGCATGAAGGCGCATTTAGAAGCATAAGGAAGTGAAATACGGGAGGCTGTTCAAAATGGTCCTTTTATTCCTACAACGGTTGTTAACGGAGTTGGTTAAGCAAAACCGCAAGGATCATGGGATGATGATGATAAGGAAAATGTTCTCTATGACAAAAAGGCGATAAATATCTTACAAAGTGCACTTGGAATGGATGAATTCTTCCGCATTTCAATATGTACAACGACCAAGCAAATATGGGACACTCTTGTTGAAACTCACGAAGGAACCTCCGAAGTCAAAGATCCAGATTAAATACATTAAGTCAAGAGTACGAGTTATTCAGAATGAAACCAGGAGAATTAATCCTAGACTTGCAGAAAAGATTCGTGCATTTGAAAAATCACTTGAATGCACTTGGTAAGACACTAACAAATGATGAACTTAATCTTAAAGTGCTTAGGTCTTTATCAAGAGAATGGCAATCCAAAGTGACGGCGATTTCCAAAAAGAAAAGTCTATCAACAATGACATCCGCTACTATATTCGAAAAGCTCCAAGAATATGAGACAGAACTTGGACGATTGGAGAAATATGAAATTCAAGAGAAGAAATCCAAGAGCATTGCCTTAAAAGTTGAATCCAAAGAAGTGGAGAAAGAAGACAATCCCGAAGAGGACAAAAATTTTATGCTTCTTG